TCGTATATATGTTACAAACAGGGAAACCTACGTAAACACCCAATCAGGCAGCCCTTTCACCTCGAATTGAACCTAAGTCGGATTATCAGTGTTCAGCGGCCTTACTGCTCGGGCGCTTGTGAGCGTCGCTGTAAAGGCAGCTAATTTTCCCTGTGATCACTCAGTCACCCTCGACGTACAGAAGTCACGAGAGACTTGCTTTTCAGCACTTGTTTCTTTGAATGATTTTTTGAAGAATTAAGGATATTAAGAGAGTCCTTTAAGTCCAGTTTGTAGGCTATTGATTACAGCAACGCATTCGAGAGCTACTTTGTTTACTAGGAATTCTTCTATGCAGGAATTTTTAAGGAATCCTATTAAATCATTGGAGGAAAGTTGGCACCCGGTTTTTATCACAGCTTAATGCCCATTAAGAGAGCATAATACCTGAATATTAAATATTTCATGTAGGCATAACTGTGCTGTACATGTGGTATACTACATAAAGGAACTCATTCGCAACATGCGGATAACATAAAACAATTTGTAGGCGATATATTTATTTTTTATTTTCACTGCACATGACAGGTGACGGAAGACGGGGACATATGGTGTCTAACAAAGGTAAAAGCAGGTATATGTCCCATGCCCTTCACTATCTTGAACCGGCAGATCCCGAATCCCAGGAAGCCTGCATCGGGAATGCATTTGCTTCTCTGTGAAGTCGCATGAACAAACAGGGACCTGAATGATGTTACATGAATGCATTAGCTGCATGAATATATAAGCATTAGCTGTTAGAATGCATTGGTGATGCTCCTGGGTGCACGTTGCCATAATTCTTAAATACATCAACTAATAACAATAATATTAATAATGTTTAAATACATCAAATACTTGCAATACTACATTAAATATAATCTGTCAGTTAAATACATTAATACATTGGATGCATGATTACGTTACATGGATTCATTAGGTATGTACTTGAGAGCTTGATGACATTTAGACACTTGAATACATTAAACCTGTTTACATTCATTATTTTGGAACTTGCGTTATTTCAGTACATACATGCCTCATAATAGATACATTATTATGTTATACGAATACTGTTTCTACCCTTGAATACTAGTTATATACGTGAATACTTAATTACAATAAAAACATTGATTAGTTGATTACATTAGCCTATATACATTAATTATATGAGTACTTGAGTACGCTTGTTGACACTTATATATACATATATATAATAATTCTTCCATACATAAACTACCTAAGTATCATAGTTTACATTGAATATATTTATTCATATAAGCTTGTAAGGTATTTCTGCCTTCTTTCAGCATGAATTCGTGGTGTAATGGCCAACATATTCCACGCGTATACGAGAGGTCCGAGGTTCAAGTCTCGGCGAGCGCATTGCTCATTTTTCACGTCTCCAGCAACAAAATAACCTATTGACTCTACAAGCTTGAATGAATAACTTCATATAATCTTGAATATTTATATACATTATTGCTTGAATACTTAATTAATTAATTATTGTATTACTGCTGCAAATCTGGCACTAGTTGGACTCTTTGGCACTGTCTCTGGTGGTGGAATATATCATACATTTGCTCGTTCAGACACTATGGAAGCGTTTCAGGAAGAAAATTGGCAAAGAGCTTACTTAGTTCGTGGCCACAATATCCAGTCCTGATGATATTAGCAGGTTAATGATGTTGTAGATTCTTTGTCGTAGTGCAGTTCTCAATAGAAACCGCCTGAATGGATTTATGTTGGAAGACATTGACATTCTGATATGGACCTTTCGGTTAGTGATAGCTCGTGATGGTTCATGATGAGTTCATGATGGCTCAGACTGCACATGACACTTAAGAAGAACAAAGAGCAAAGGAGCACGGGAAATGTTTGCAATATCTTGCTCACTGCGCGAATTCATTTAATATACCACAGTTGAGCAACCGTTATACGTTCGGTAAAGAGTCCAATTTCGAAGAGAATTTACAGCTGGACCATTAAGGGTTATTGGCATGCAAAATAAACTTCTGTTGTTGTTGATGTCTTGTCCATGTATTTCATGGAAGAATGGTTGCCAGCGCTTCAAAGAGGTTAGACGTCTATTTCCACCTCAATTTTGCGGGAGAGCACTCCTTTACCATCAAACCACAGGACAGGACTTTAGCTTGCCATATATTTAGTGCTCACATGTCGCAAAAACGCTATGCTTTTACAAACATCCATGCCATGCCTTTTCCGGGATTCGAACCCAGGCTCTTCGATAGCGTAGTAAGTACCCCTAAACCGTATACCTTTTGGGCCGCAGTAAACTTCTGTATTTCATTAAAATGAGATATGACTCAAAATTCAACTTTGCTTTCTGAAATGAATGTAATGAGTTGGTTTTGATATATATGGCTTTTAATAATCAGCCTGTTATATAGAGCTATTCCTATTAGTCATAGCCTACCAACGGCCGAGCGGTAAAGTCGCTGAACACTGGTAGTTCGGTCCGAGGTTCGAATCCCGCGAACGGGCTGGCTGCATGGGCGTTTACGTGGTTTTTCCCATGTGTGACGTGTATACGAGCCAGTTTCCCTTAAAAGGTCCTCCACAAAGGCATCCCTCCCTTTAGACGGATAGCCCTAGTGTGCTTTGCCATAATTAAATAAACCAAACCAAACCAACCTATTAGTCACAAACAATACTCTTGAACAATACACTTGGCGTTTTATCTGTAATAGTTTTCATATTAATGTAAAATATAAAATATAGTACAGGGCAGTGGCGTAGCTAGGATAGGGTAAGGGCGAGATCAGTCCCCGGGCGCAGCATCCAAAGGGCGTCAAATTGATGCTACGAAATTTTTTAATGAAATTTTTTCCACTCTTGGCACACAGGAAGGGGCACAAATTCTTCAGTTGTTCCCGGACGCTGGAAACTCTAGCTACTCCCCTGGTACAGGTGTTCATAATTTTGACACATTTCAAAAGTAGCATACAAATAACATATTGGCGTATCAGCATGCAATTTCAGCCCTTACATATCACAAACATGGATTTTTTTTTTTTTCGGATTTTATGAAATGGGTTATATTTTAGTTAAAATTTTCACCGAAAGATGACGCTGTAAATAAAATACTGTAGGATTATACGGTATATATTTAGTTGAATTATAAGCGTATTACTATAATTAAAGTAGCAGTTCACAATGAGCTCTCAGTTAAGCATCTTAATTTAAAATGTTTAAATTTGCATCTTTTCTAACATTAAGTCCAAAATTATGGGACATTTGTAGATGAATCAGATCACGCTCTTAAGAATAAATGCAAAATTAAACTTTATTGATCCAAAATGTTAGAAGTTTAGATATACATATCAAATGAACTTTAATAATTACATAAATGCTGTATATAAATGTAGCAATGCTTTAATTAATTACAACATTTTATGGATCGTAAGATGTTGATTTAGTTTACAGAGGCTATATCTGATTGATTCCAAGATTAATATATGTAACTAGTTGATGCTGTAAAATATCCAGGCTTCTATTAGTTGCATTTTAATTTCTCTGAAGCCTTCAATTTTGCATAAAATGACTGCTGCTTCGTTTCCACAATACTAAGCTCAATTTTGACGGATTATATTAAATTCGTGCTTAAATATTGATAAATTATTATGGCACCCGGCTTCTATTTCTCCAAGGAAAGGAAATGGTATTATTATACAGTTACAAAACTGGAAATAAATGACTCAAATGTACACAAAGAGAGTTGTTGTACATTAATTAAAGGTTTCTGCTTTATTGGAAAGCGGAAAATATTAGAAAGGTTTAGTTTGATAGAGGCGAAATGCTTGGATGTTTCGGAAACGCATTGCAAAAGCAAACGGAAAATTCAAAGCGAGCAATGGCAACGTTATACAGAAAAAACATTTTTATCTTCGGCGCGTGAGACTGTGTATCGGAAATTCTAAAGGTATGCTCAATTTAAAATTATTTTGCGATATTGCTCTTGAACTGAATTTTATGGTTTAAGTGCGAAGAACGTAATATTTAATAAATAAAGGTAACACACAAAATGTTAAAAAAAGCCCGTTTGGACGTAATTTAAAATCGGAAACCTTTGGATTTTTAATTTTGTTTTAAAATTCTGCATTTCAAAATGATTCCGTAAAGTTATTAATTTCATTAGTATTCGTTTTGCCTACACAATGTACTTTCCTACCTGTGTCTACATTTTACCGCGTTACCATAAAACAGTAGTTTCTGTATCATATGTAGAAAACTCTATGGGGAAATATGGTGTTGGAATTAGGAACATCTTTTATTAATTGCAATAATAGCGAAAATGTTCAAAACTCTTTTTAGGTTGGGTTTATTATAACTTATCCCAGATATCTATATTGTAAAAAAATAAAATATAAATTATCAAGAAGAAAGTTCATCTTTTTAATCCTCTCAATTTGTTAAATAACTACTTTTATGATTTGAAAAAAAAAATATTTAGAGATTTTTATGGTAACTGTCCGAGAACTTGGCTAATTGCCAGGAAGCATGGCAATTAAAGAACTCGTCTTTCAAATGCAATAATAAATATGACGTAAAGCAAAGGGCTTCAAAATTTGGAAGATCTTTTCTGTAGAAATGTCTAAAATAGTTTTCTCTCTGCAGTTTAATCTGAATTTGAAACGTAACAAATAAATGTTAACATATTAAAAATGACGCTAAATGTTATGCTATAAAGGATTTCGCTTTAACTTCATCTCGAGTCAATTTTATTTGCTTCAGGATGTCAAAATAATGCCCAAAATTTTAAGGGATGAAGTTTTAAAACGAAACCCATTTTTTCCAGTTTCGCTCTTCAAACAAAGCTGGAGATCTCTAGAAATTAGAAATAGTAATTTTACGAGCCAACATGCAAAACAAAAATAGCATTCATCACTTAGTAAGATTTGCTGTCCCATGATAACCCATTCGCTGTCGAATTAGGTACCTAGAAAATTTATACATACCTGTTCTGATACTTTAGAATTACTTCTATTTTTCTCCAGGGCGCTAAAAGCGAAAAACAAGAAGAAACAAGAGTTCAAGCTAAAGCCAGGCTAATCTTTTAAATAATAAAAGATACGACTTCGAGACTTTCTGCTACATCCTGAAGCGCCAACATTAATTATTAACGAGAAGACGAATTTTTACGTCCTCTGCTTGGATTTACGGAAGAGTTAAAAGGCCGTAAGCACGGAAAGCCAGCCTTTTTATTACTTTTACTGCCTGCTGTCTTGATGATGGGATTTAAAATGAAATCAAACAGATGGGTATTACAAGTGACTCTGGAAAGCGATGTCTGGATTGACATAACCTAACTTTGCAACAAAGCAAATATATCTGGAAAGATTTAATTTGAAAGTTTATAAATAATTTGCATTTAAAAAGAAACTTTCCGTGACAGAAATATTTAGGGACTGATGAAAAATTGGAAAGGCTGTCAAGTTTGAAAATTACCTCACTTTCGTTAAGCGTTCATATTTTTGCTCTTTATTTACAGATCATTATACTTTAAATTTGTATGGAAAATTTTAACTTTAATATGTGTAAATATTCCCAGATTTTACTTTAAAAAACATTCGGTTATGTAGTGCTGTATTTGAAGATTTAGCATTCTTTGCAGAATTTTGAGATTTGTGCGTAGTAGTGGGTGTGAATCAAGGTTCTCTGCTACAGAAGTATAAAACTGCACCAAGTTGAAATATTAAACATAAAAGTTTAATCAGCGTCTTCTATCCTTAAGATTTAACAACATAGATGAACATATGTGTCAGACGTTGACACATTAATGAACTTATACGATGGATAACGTACTAAATGTACTAGACTGGTACAATGTGATATGATCCTGCTTAACAGTCCTTTTCATATAGGCAAGTATTTGGCGATGTACTAGATAGATAATCCAGGATGCTTGAGTAGATTTTTGTTTCCACTGAACTGTTCCTTATTTGGGCTCCTTTCATCACGTTTCTGCACCACGCTTCAGAGAATCACAGCGGCTGGCCACGTCGGCAAACATCATCAGATAGACGTAGCAGGGAGATCAGGACCCACAGAATCGGGAAAGCTGACTACCTGTTCGTCTCTCCTCGTCTCCTCCTCGGCAGGAACCATCGCCTGAATTATATCGCCTTTTCTGCTCAGCGTAATCTCGGAGGGAAGAAATGCAAATTTCAATCTTTAACACTTTCTCTCGATGAGCTAAAAAGAGAAAAGAATAAAAAAAATGACATTCATTAGTTAAATTTTAAGACTTCATAAATTCATGCATTTCCTGTGTTTGTCCTTGCCGAGATTCTTCCTTAAAATATCGGCTGGCATTTCTGTTGTAGACACACACTTAATGCCAATTTCTTTATTGTCGTGCATTATTTGATTGGGCGAGAGGTATCTGCATTAAACTTTACGTAACATAGAAACATCTCGAATTTGGGAGAATGGGTGAGTTTAGGGGAAAGGCACCAAATTTAGAATGTTAATTTCGAGGTCGCCAATTATTTTTGAAAGCAGCTATTGTATTCTTATATATATATATGAATACAATAGCTGCTTTAAAAAAAATAAAGATATATATATATATATATATATATATATATATATATATATATAATAAGCCCTGTTTTAAAGTACTGTTTATGTACAAAATTCAACTAAGTGTGTGAACCAACAAGGAGTCAAGCTTTGCTATGTCAGCTAATTTTATTTTATTCCGCATTACTATATTACTATGAAGCATCATTCTTAGCTCTTAATCTATTCAATATCTAGAAGTGAAAAAAAATTCAGTGCTTCGAAAATTAATCCAGCATAGTTTTTATATTAAAAAGAGATTTGATTAGTGTTTACAAAAGTACAGTGTACGAAAGTTCCAAATCATTTCATGTACGCAGTCTCACGCTTTTGAAGATTTTGAATCTGTCTGAAGAATGTGCTTTAAGTATGTGCTCTCGAAAAAATTTATTTTCGCTTACGCTTTCAGAATCGCATAGTTCTCTGCAGAAATTCAAAAACTATTATCTTAGAATAAGGTTCATTTTTGAATGGAATGAAACTAAAATCCTCGCTTCCAGAAGATGCTCAATGGCAATATCTAGAAATAGAAAGGAAAACAATTCTATCATCGTTTTACTGCAGCATACTAATGCTTAAAAATTCCATCCGAATATCTCTACATAGAATAAAAGAAAGAGTCTGTGTGTCTTTCGTTAGTGTTGCGTGTAAGCTGATAGACCTAAGGGCACGAAATTTGGTACATAGGTGCATCTAAACAAGATCCAGTGCACGTCGAAGCGATTTTTTCAAAATTCGAATCAGATTTTTTTAATTTTATCTTTTTTTTTTTTTTTTTTGATGAAATAGCATCATTTTGAATATTTTCTTTCTTTTACAAATGTGGTTTTGGCAGCAGTGTTTCATTCAGTACTTTGCATCCTGGACTGCTGACTGTTGAAAATATGAGATTAAATATTATTTAATTAATTATGGTTTCCTTTGCAGAGTTTTTTGTGTTTTTTTAATGTTATTTATTGTTTATTTCACTGTTTTTAAGATATTGAAAAGTTTTGCATTTTTTTTAGGAAACAAATTTCTTAACTTCCTTTATACTATTTGAATTCTTAAGATTTTGCAACAGGAAGTTGATTAATTTATTTATTAGGATAAATTAATATTTGTATTAAGGGATATTACTTATTTCATGTTTATTAAAGGGGCGTTTTTTTAAAGTTTGTGCGTTAGCTTGATTTATTAAATATCATATTCTTCGCACTTAAACCATAAAATTCAGTTTAACCGCAATATCACAAAATATTTAAAACGATCATATATTTAGAATTTCCCATACATAATCTTGCGCGTTGGAGATCGAAATGTTTTTTTTTTTATCCCAAAGGCTCAATTTGCCCAGATGAGCTAGTTGTTTCGTTTTGGCATTTTGTGTTGATTCACTATAAACAGGGAAACATTTTTTAAATTATTGCTACCAAATATTAGAGCCCTGCGCGATACTTAAAGAAATTAAACAATGAAGAATCTGCATGAATGTATGTATTTTTTCGCACTGTGATAAAACAACGATACCTAGAGAAATCGAATTTTTAATAATGTACGTCTCCACCCATCTGGAAGCCCGAATTAGGAATTGTTTTATTATATCTTTCATATTTTGTAAGAATTTAGGAGTTTTTGATTAAGAACTCAACGATTTCTAAGCGAGCCATGGCAACACTGTACGAAAAAAAATTTTTTTACGTCCAGCGCGCGAGACTGTGTATCGAAAATTCTAAAGATATGCTCTTTTAAATATATTGAGATATTGCTGTTGAGCTGAATTTTATAGTTTAAGTGCGAAGAAAATGATATTTAATAAATAAAGGTAACACACAAAACGTTAAAAAAACGAACCTTTGCGCATAATATAAAATCTGAAAGCTTTCAGACTTTTCTTTTATGTATTTTTTTCCGTAGAATGTTGCTATTGCTCGCTTTTAAATCGTTGAGTTTGTTAATCAGAAATTCGATAAAGTTTCCAAAATATGGAATAAATATTGAAACAAATTAGAAATTCCAGTTGCCCACATTCGAGTGGAGAACTTCGTTATTTAAAATTTCATATCTCTAGGTATCGCTGTTCTTTCGCAGTGGGAGAAACATACATACATTCATGCAGATTTTCATTATTTAATTTCTTTAAATATAATGTTAGGGCTATAATATTTGATGGTAACAATTTAAAAAGAGATTCGCCGTTTATAGTGAATCAACGCAAAATGCCAAAACAAAATTAATAGTCCTTCTGTGAAAATTGCCCCTTTGGACCAAAAACTGACGTGGACGCCACATGACTTCCTTAAATGGTTTCTTAAATTATACCAATTTTTTGCTACATTACATTTAAACGTATTTCTTCGAATTTCATTAGAGGTATATTTTTGATTCAATTAATTCAGTTCCCACTCCACGGCAAAGCAAAAATACTTAAAAAGTCAAAAACCCACATTAAAAATTGTAAAATATGGAAAAACATATAAAAATAATGCAGGGCTTTATTATTTGGTTACAAAAAATTGAAAAGTGAAACGCCAATTTTATAGTGGACGACGCAAAATGCCAAAACGACATTAATAGCTCTTCTGAGAAAATTTCTCCTTTGTGGTAATAATAATAATATTAATAATAATAATGTATTATTGCAACTTTATCAATATTACCTTATGCAGCTTTGAATGTCACATTTTTAATTTTCTGAAGGAAATTTAACCTTCCATCGTGTACTGCTTATTTTTATTATTTCTTAAAAGAATCTCCTTCACACCTGCTTTGGTTTTGAAAGACGATAATAAAATATAAATAACTTGAGCTGTTTTCCAAATACTTCTAACGATATTACTAAAGCACTTGCTAGGGATTATCATTTGCTAAAATATACTGCGTGATGAATTTAGCTTTTCTTTCTAGAGCAATGCCTGTCATCGTGAAACTGTTTGTTTTACCTTATGTGATGACATTTTGAAAAATTCTGTGAAGATTAGGTAGTTGTTTTCTGAACCATTGCTCGTCTTTATTTAAAGAACGCGTTTTTGTGGTTAAGGTAATGAACTATTCAATTGTTTTCTTCGTTATTAATTCTCTGCACCATTATCATCATTCATGCAGGAGACACTAGCGTGGGCATCTCAAAGACGTCTTTTGTCTTTGATTAGAGCAATAACTTGTACAACACTAATTAGTGCAGACAGAGATTTTTATCTCAGTTACGAAGCAATTATTCAAGTGAAAAATGTTTTTCACGCTTCCCAGAAAGATTTTATCTCTTACCTCATTATAGCTGATATTCGTTTTGTTTCCAGCAAAAAGAAACGATATAGATTTCTCATTGTTGTGCATGGAAAGAAATAAAAGTAAATACCTGAAAACCATATTGGTTGGGGTTTAAAGAGCTTGAAGGGATAAATACCTACGAATAAATATTTTGAGGTGTGATCCTTAGTAGGTTATGTCTGAAACTGCATACACAAAAATGATGACATTTCCTGAATTAGCCAATCAACCTACAGTACAACTCCAATTATCCGAATCGATTGGGACCGGACCCAATTCGAATAATCAAAAATTCGGATAATTGGATTTTTTTCCGAAGAAAG